CCCGATTCTCTTTGACATTTGTTGCAATTGAACTCCAAAAAGGTTGGTTTTACGCGAGGTTGCCTGTGTTTTAGTGTGTTTCAGATCCTAACAGATAAAACCAAACCCGGAGTCAAAAGTTGGAAGAAAAAGAGCAAAGACCAGGCAAAGAAGTGGAGACAGCCGCAGTTCACGGCCAAACGTTTGGGTTCACGGTCTTACAGGATCGTGAACTGGAGCCATGACCCGTGAAGTGAGGAGCAAATGATTCGGGCCCAAATGTACACATTTCACCCCTCATTTCTTTTTCATTTAGCTTAGTATTTCATCGTTCCTCGACATATTTCACGCTAGGTTGTGCTTGTTTTGATACATTTCAGGTCCTAACACGTGTGGAAGGGTCGAGTACGATTTTTGGGATAATTGGAGGTCAAAAGGCGCAAAAACCGAAGAAAAGTCTGAGAGACCGTGAATTTTGCCATGTAACAGTGAAGTGCAGGCGTCCAGGAAACATCCGCAGTTCACGGACGGGCGAGGCCATTCATGGTCTCCTAAGACCGCGAACTTCGACCACAAACCGTGAACACCTAGGCGTCCAGTGAGGTTCCTGAAGTTACTTGTTTAGATTGAATGACTTTGTATTGGTTTGCATCAATTTGAGTATTAGAGGTGCTTTTATGGTGATTGTGTTTAGTTGTGCTTTCCAAATCTTGTGTGCTTGCCTAACCTAGATTAGAGGAAAACCACACCTTTTTAGGTAGTCTTGACAATCTTGGTTTTCTTGGGCTCTTTGTGTCTACTATCTAGGATAGAGATGAGCATCCCTCTTGAATCAAGTTTGCATCTAGGTTGGTTGTGATTAAGCCACTCAAACTCCGGTTTCAGGGAGAAACCTAGGCAACCACTAGAGACTAAGTGAGAGGATCGATCCCGCGACAAATCGATCTCTAGTGAATCCATCCCGTAACAAATGGATCACTAGTTGCTCCTCCTAGCGGTTCCCCTAGACTTGGTGAGTGGATCGATCCCGTGACAAATCGATCCTAGTGATTTGATTCCATGACAAATTGATCACTAGTTGCTCACCCCCGCGGTTCACAACCACCTACGCCACACGACTCCATTCGATCCAACGTCATGGTAGCTAGTTAGGGCGAAGCAACTCCCGGGTGAAGCTCCCTTAGTTAGAATTTTCCTTTATTGCTTGTTTAGTTTGTAGTCTTCTTAGTTTGAAAACCCAAAACGATATGATCCTAATTCGAGAATCCTCCCAAATCGGACCAAAAACCAGAGTTGCACACGTCGAACTTTTTAGGGGTTTTCTCCTTTCTTGAATAACACTAAAATAAAGATACTTGCGGAATCAATCAAACAAATCCGAACTCGTGAGAAGGGCCAGAAGGTATATGAAACCTTCCACACAATCTCGAACCCTTGGAAGAGGCCAACCGATATCGTCGATGCTCGCCACAACTAGACGCGTTCTCTAGTTGATAAGAGACCACTCAAACCTCCCGAATCCTCAAAGGAGCGAATAAGCAAAACGTTCACTTGAACTTGTAAACACTTGTATTTGATTGCTGAAACTTGAATATTGGGTACCAAATTCGTAGGTCTTACATTCTCTATTTATAGAGGTCTCAAAACATAGATCTAACCGAATGCTCCGCTGGTCTTCACTCGTTTTCCATTTCCTTTGCGGAATAGCTTCCTTTTAATTATTGCCGCCTTCTTGTGATCAACATACGAGCCTTCATATTTCCTTCTCCTGGGCGGAATGAACTTCCACTCACATTACCACCGTCTAATTCATAAGCTTCCATGTAACCACCAATTGAAGCATGCAAAGTCACGTTGATTAATTGAACAACTTGCTTCCCAAGTGTCCATTTAATTCATGGAATGCATCACTCACTTCCCACAAAAGCAAAAGTCCAAGCTAGCTTTTCCTATTTTATCTTCACTTTGGCTTTAGAAGAAGCAAACCATTCATAGCTCGTCCTTTCCCTCGAGTTGGCAGCAACAAATAAATTGTTAACACAATTTATCTATCAAGAATGCTCCCAATTGATCCTTAAATCGTCGAATTCGAATATTTATTTTTGGACCACGGGAATTAGATATCGTGCTAGTCGATATTGCATCATTCCCTCTCTCTTGAAGAAGATTTGACCTCGAATCTTTATAAAACTTTGATCTGCAATCAGTGCCACTCTGCTTGGCCTTCGAACGAAATTGTTGTGGTAGCGAGAATTGTATCATTCCCCCCTTCTTTAGAACAATTCGTCCACAAATTGTAGAGACTGCGTTTTGATGAAAACCTTCCACATAGCTCTGCAATTCTCGTTGATTATCCATGTGTGCCCCCTCTTCAAAAATTGCATCGCCAATCACAAAATAAATATGAGCATACTCGGGAACTGTTTGTAAATGCTCCATAATTTCCAAGTAGTCATCTCCTCTGTTGATTTTTGGTTCCTTTTTGAATTGATAAACTTCTGGCACACTCAAATGTGCAACATCAACAAGAATACCTTCTTTCACCTCCTTTGCCTCTTTTAATTCTTCTACTTCACTTTCTATTTTTTCTTGAGATGAAATCACAGCTTGTGCATCCTCTTCACAAGTGATTATAGTACGCCCATCAACAAGAACCTCCTTTTTCTCTTCTTTGACTTCAGTTTCTACCTTTCCTCTCCATGGATTGAACTTAAAGAATCATCACTTTTATCAACGGATCTTGCACTGGCAGTCTCTTGCTCTTTTTCCTTATGTGGTTCTAGATATTTGATCGACAACTTCTCTGCTTCAAGATTCGCCTGCTCCTCCTCATAGGCTTGTTGTAATGGCCTCCTATCTTTAGAAACCCCTTTCAACGATAATGGTATCAAGGCAAGTTTCTTATCTTGATTCCTTAAGATGATGTTGTTGGTGCTTCTGCTTCGTCGCGCTTGGTGGTCCTTGTGCCATGGTTTACCAAGTACCACATGAGTAAGCTTCATAGGCACGACATCACATTCAATTTGATCCACATAAGACCCGATTTTGATCTCCAAAGACTCTTGTTCAGTCACAAAAACTCACGCATTTTCCATTGACATTTGCATAAAGAAAGGGCTAGGGTGTCGTTCTGTAGTTAGCCCTAACTTAGCTACTGCTCTTGAACTAATCAAATTCGATTTGATCTCTCCATAAATAACCAAGGAACACAACTGCTCTTGAACCCAACAACGAGTATACAACATATTACCTTTTTCTACCTCTTCCGCCATCACTGCATCCAAATCAAACAAGAACCACAAAAACCAAAGCACACAATTTGATATGATCCTAATTCGAGAATCCTCGCAAATCGAACCAAAAACCAGAGTTGCACACGTCGAACTTTTTATGGGTTTTCTCCTTTCTTGAATAACACGAAAATAAAGATACTTGCGGAATCGATCAAACAAATCCAAACTCGTGAGAAGGGCCAGAAGGTATATGAAACCTTCCAAACAATCTCGAACCCGTGAAAGAGGCCAACCGATATCGTCGATGCTCGCCACAACTAGATGCGTTCTCTAGTTGATAAGAGACCACTCAAACCTCCCGAATCCTCAAAGGAGCAAATAAGCAAAACGTTCACTTGAACTTGTAAACACTTGTATTTGATTGCTGAAACTTGAATATTGGGTACCAAATTCGTAGGTCTTACACCCTCTATTTATAGAGGTCTCAAAACATAGATCTAACCGAATGCTCCGCTGGTCTTCACTCGTTTTCCATTTCCTTTGCGGAATAGCTTCCTTTTAATTATTGCCGCCTTCTTGTGATCAACATACGAGCCTTCATGTTTCCTTCTCCTGGGCGGAATGAACTTCCACTCACATTACCACCGTCTAAATCATAAGCTTCCATGTAACTGTTGGTTGAGTCAAGCGCGAGACTCATTAGATCCTCTCTCTCTTTCTCCTTTGATTCAGACTCTGCAAAAACCCTAATTTCGGTTTCCACAAGAACAAGTGAAAGCAATCGAGAAGCTGGAATTGCAAATCGATACACAAGGTAAAGTAGCTTCCCTTTCCTGTTTAATAAAACGGCACCGGGTTTGGAACTGGGTACCCGATAATGCAAGGTTGGTTGGGCTTAGTATATTTCTGATCTGTCAACCAGAAATCAGGCCCAACTTTATTTTATTTCCACGGTGCGTTTTGATGTCTCAGTTCCTTCTCCTTTCTTCTAGCACCTCGATCGAGCTCTGTTCTGCACCAAGCTCAAACACAGACTAAACCAAGAACATAAATGAAATCCTGGAGATGAGTAATAAACAGCAGAAACAGAAAAGAACACTGAACACAATATTTTTACGTGTTATCTGATACTGATAAATTCAGTATCGACTAATCCACGGTCAAAGGTACTCTTCTTGAGTCCTTTGACGAATTACTACGATTTTGATTTCTAATTACACCAATACAGCCGTGATCTCACAGTGACTCCCTGTCACTCTGATCAGAATCCCACTGAACCTACAGCTCCCTGCCTTTGTTCAAATGTGATCAGCTAAGTCTCACTCGCTATCTCCCTGACAGCTATTTATCTTCTTTTCACTCAAAACCTTAACAATACCCCTTGTTTGTTTTGATTCTTCTGTGAAAACTTATGCGTAGCTACCCAGCCCACTATCTCTTTTATACAATCGCCTTTCTAGCCGTTGATGATTGCTGCCAATTAGTCCGAGTGAATCTTGCTATGATCTTGATTGACATACTCCTTCCTTAACTGTCTTGCCGAGACTTCGCCTTTCCATTTTAATCACATTCTTCAACCTTCCTTGGTTTGAGCCTGTACAAGCTTGCCTATCTCCTTCAACATTCTCCCCCTAAGCTTGCCAGTGGCTCAACTCAGCAACCTGCACACACGTAACAACCGGTGGGTGCAGCCTGTTCCAATACATTCGCGTAGAGTAACGAGATTGAAATTCATCATACTTTAGAAAAACGTGCCTTTTATTTAATTCTCATAATCCCTAGATCACACAAGATACTCAACATTTATTTGGCCCAACATACCAGACCAGAGCAAAGCAAACAACACTACTCTAGGCACTTCTGCTGATATTCTTTCTAGAAGGGATAGTTTGGAGGTGAAGCATAGCTTGAAACCCGATCGTTCTCATCACCAGAGTTCGAGTCAGGGCTAATTGGATCACTAATTTGATGTGATTCATAGACAAACTTTGGCAGCATTAGATCTTGTTCAATCATCAGCCGCCTTTTAGGGCCACTCTGAGCACCAGCCTTTTGCTTGTATGTTGCAGCTGCTGCATTAACCAGGGCTGATGCAGCCAGCTGTTGCTGACTCTGCACTCCCCCTGAGCCAGTGACAGGCTTGCGAGGGCCAACCAAGGCATCAACACGTTCCAGAACATGCTGGGGACGCAAATTGTCGAGGACGTCACAAACAATGACCTTGTCACGCAAATCAATGCCGAGACGATACAGAAAACGACTGATTTGAGGACCGAATGGCAGTGGACCACCATAATATTCAGTCCCAAATTTGATCATGTGCTGGAACATGAGCGACGCATAGCTGATACGATGAACAGCCCGCGCGTTAAAGAGAACCCAAAGATCAGGAGAGTGGATGATATCAGCACCAGCAAGGTCACGGGGCAAGAACCATCGAGTGAGAAAGAAAAACAGAACCTTGAGATCGTCTGGCAGACGTCCCGCAGCAAGCTGGGACGGGAACCAGCGTCCGATATCATGCACAAGAGAGCCAAGTGCTTGATCGAACCTGAATCCAAAATGGTGGAACTCACTGCCTGTTCCAGCCCGAATGCTAGCATGAGGAATGTCCAGAACGGACGCCAGCAGATCAGGCGTCACTTTGATTTCATAGTCATAGACAAGAGTAGTGAAAAAAGAGGGATCACTCCCAGGACCACGTCGGAGGTTGACATAGAAGAGACGCACAGCTTCCGGACATTGGCTGAAGCACAGATTGGACACCAAGGATTCCCACCGTAGCTTGTCAAGATAGGCAGAAATGTTCATGTCGTATTTGGAGAAGGCAGTGGGCTGAATGGAAAAGGATGGATAAAGGGGACGATCTCGGAAGCGCCTAAGATACCTAGAATAGGTAGCAGCGTTCCGAAAGCTTTGATTTTTAAAAAAGAACCGACGACTGAAGTTGAACATTGTTGGAGGCCATTTTTGGTTGAGGGCAGTAAGAGAGGTGTGAGGTGAGACGAAGAGTCAGAATGAGGATTTATAGATACGAGACTGAACTTAAACTAGGGAAACTCTTCGAGAGAGATGGAAAGAATCAGTGAAAAGAGGGAATTAGTGAAAACAAGGCAAGATAATATTTTATGGGCAATCAAGCATCACTAATTTCTTCTTGAGTAAACATGCCAAGTTCATGTCGAATAGGTAAGAACTTTTCAGCACTTAATGGCTTAGTAAAAATGTCAGCCCATTGCATTTCTGTGTTAATGAACTCTAAGTGAATTTTGCCATCTTGTACGAGATCCCGAATAAAACGGTAACGAACTTCAATGTGTTTAGTTCGAGAATGTTGAATAGGGTTTTTTGTCATGTTTATTGCACTCGTGTTATCACATAATATGGGAAGAGACCCTATACTAAGACCGTAATCTTGTAACTGGTATTTCAACCACAGTAATTGAGTACAGCCTAGCCCTGCTGCAATATACTTTGCCTCGGCAGTTGATAATGCAACAGAGCTTTGCTTTTTACTGGCCCAAGATATAAGCGACGTGCCAAGAAAATGGCAGGTCCCAGAGGTACTCTTCCTATCGGTCACACAACCAGCATAATCTGAGTCGCTATAACCTAGTGGTTCAAGACTTGATTCACAAGAGTACCACAACCCAAGTGAACCATTACCAGACAAATACCGAAATATGCATTTTACTGCTAATAGATGACTAATCTTAGGATTACTTTGAAACCTGGCACAAGCACATACACTATATATTATATCAGGTCTACTTGCAGTTAAGTAGAGAAGAGAACCTATCATTCCACGATATAATTTATCACTAACTGGTTCTCCTGACTCATCCAGGGATAGTTTTATTGTGAAGCCCATTGGTGTAGCTGCTGATTTCAAGTTTTTAAAATCAACCTTATCAAGCATGTTATTTAAGTACTTGGTTTGACTTATAAATGTTCCTTTGCTAGTCTGTTGAACTTGCAGACCCAGGAAATAGGTTAGTTCCCCCATTAAGCTCATTTCAAAAGCCCCTTTCATAACTGATTCAAACTGTTTACACATTTCTTGACTTGTTGAACCAAAGATAATGTCGTCTACATATACTTGGACAAGCATAGTATGACCACTTAAGTTTTTGATAAACAGGGTTTTATCTACAGATCCTCTACGAAACCCATCCTTAATTAAGAAGGTATTAAGTTTATCATACCAAGCCCTAGGAGCTTGTTTTAAACCATATAGGGCTTTGTTTAATTTATACACATGATTAGGAAACTTGTGATTTTCAAACCCAGGGGGTTGAGCTACATAAACTTCTTCTTTTAAATCTCCATTAAGAAAAGCACTTTTCACATCCATCTGATATAGTTTAAATTTTTGAGATGCAGCAAATGCACACAGTAGTCTGATTGCCTCTAATCTAGCTACATGAGCAAATGATTCATCGAAGTCTATTCCTTCCTCTTGATCATATCCTTGAGCTACCAATCTGGATTTGTTTTTAGTTACATCACCAATTTCATCAGTTTTATTTTTATATACCCACTTAGTTCCAATTATAGGTTTATCCTCAGGTTTGGAACTAATTCCCAGACATTCAACCTTTCAAAATATCCTATTTCATCTTGCATAGAGGCTGTCCAGAATTCATCATTTAGTGCCTCTTTAATGTTCTTAGGTACTAGTAAAGACACAAAAGCAGCATTCACAGAAGATAGTTTAGATCGGGTAACCATACCTTCTCTTAGATCACCAATAACTTGAGAAGGAGGATGCCGTTTCTGAATGTGCAAGGGAGCTTCCTTGAATCTGTTTATATCAGTCTCTACTGCAGATTCTTGATTTATCATCTCTGGTAAGTCTTCATTTCTTGTCTCCTGCTCAGTTTGCTTAGTTTGGTTTGATGTAATTGATCTTCCTAACCCTAGATCATCATCTTCATCAATTTGATCTGCACACTCACTAGGAGAATCATCAAAAACCACATTTATGGACTCCTCAACTTTGAGGGTCCTTTTATTATACACTCTATATGCTCAACTTTGAGGCCAACCGATATCGTCGATGCTCGCCACAACTAGACGCGTTCTCTAGTTGATAAGAGACCACTCAAACCTCCCGAATCCTCAAAGGAGCGAATAAGCAAAACGTTCACTTGAACTTGTAAACACTTGTATTTGATTGCTGAAACTTGAATATTGGGTACCAAATTCGTAGGTCTTACACCCTCTATTTATAGAGGTCTCAAAACATAGATCTAATCGAATGCTCCGCTGGTCTTCACTCGTTTTCCATTTCCTTTGCGGAATAGCTTCCTTTTAATTATTGCCGCCTTCTTGTGATCAACATACGAGCCTTCATGTTCACTTCTCCTGGGCGGAATGAACTTCCACTCACATTACCACCGTCTAAATCATAAGCTTCCATGTAACTGTTGGTTGAGTCGAGCGCGAGACTCTGTAGCTCCTCTCTCTCTTTCTCCTTTGATTCAGACTCTGCAAAAACCCTAATTTCGGTTTCGACAAGAACAAGTGAAAGCAATCAAGAAACTGGAATTGCAAATCGATACACAAGGTAAAGTAGCTTCCCTTTCTTGTTTAATAAAACGGCACCGGTTTTGGAACTGGGTACCCAATAATGCAAGGTTGGTTGGGCTTAGTATATTTCTGATCTGTCAACCAGAAATCAGGCCCAACTTTATTTTATTTCCACGGTGCGTTTTGATGTCTCAGTTCCTTCTCCTTTCTCTCGATCGAGCTCTGTTCTGCACCAAGCTCAAACACAGACTAAACCAAGAACATAAATGAAATCCTGGAGATGAGTAATAAACAACAGAAAAAGAAAAGAACACTGAACACAGTATTTTTACGTGGTATCCGATACTGATAAATTCAGTATTGACTAATCCACGGTCAAAGGTACTCTTCTTGAGTCCTTTGACGAATTACTATGATTTTGGTTTCTGATTACACCAATACAGCCGTGATCTCACAGTGACTCCCTGTCACTCTGATCAGAATCCCACTGAACTTACAGCTCCCTGCCTTTGTTCAAATGTGATCAGCTAAGTCTCACTCGCTATCTCCCTGACAGCTATTTATCTTCTTTTCACTCAAAACCTAAACAATACCCCTTGTTTGTTTTGATTCTTCTGTGAAAACTGATGCCTAGCTACCCAGCCCACTATCTCTTTTATACAATCGCCTTTCAAGCCGTTGATGATTGCTGCCAATTAGTCCGAGTGAATCTTGCTATGATCTTGATTGACATACTCCTTCCTTAACTGTCTTGCCGAGACTTCGCCTTTCCATTTTAATCACATTCTTCAACCTTTCTTGGTTTGAGCCTGGACAAGCTTGCCTATCTCCTCTCAACAGTAACCACCAATTGAAGCATGCAAAGTCACGTTGATTAATTGAACAACTTGCTTCCCACGTGTCCATTTAATTCATGGAATGCATCACTCACTTCCCACAAAAGCAAACGTCCAAGCTAGCTTTTCCTATTTTATCTTCACGTTGGCTTTAGAAGAAGCAAACCAATCATAGCTCGTCCTTTCCCTCGTGTTGGCAGCAACAAATAAATTGTTAACACAAATTATCTATCAAGAATGCTCCCAATTGATCCTTAAATCGTCGAATTCGAATCTTTATTTTTGGACCACGGGAATTAGATATGTGCTAGTCGATATTGCATCACAAAACCATTTTGCTAGATAACAACTTAAGAGATTGAAGTAGGGGTACATGGACCGACCCGAGTTGACAATTTAAATACTTGCTCTATACTGCACCCGGCTAGAGTTTAAAAACATGTGCTCTATTCGGGATTAATTTTGGTGTAGTTTCGTCTGAGTCAGCAAACATAGGGGTTTTCTGGTTACTGACGCCCAGTCAGTTCACGGTCTCTAAGACTGTGAACAGAGGCCACTAACCATGAATCCGAGCAAATGAAGCGGTGTGTTTCGGTCGCAGCACTAAGTTCACGCACGCGTTTCAATGTTCACGACCGTGAACTCAGGCCGTGAATTGGGCGCGATCTTCCACTTAAAAGGAAATCTTAAAGGGAGAAGAAAAGGGGAGAGAGAGACCTAGAGTGAGAAAGTGGTGAACCAAAGAAGAGGAAAATCTAGGGTTTCTTCTCCAAGCAAGGTTTTGGGAATTTCTTCCCCAAAGGAGGATTCCTTCAGCACAAGGAGCAAGGATTGTATCTTCTTGATGGTTTCCCTTTCCCTCTCTTGTGTTTTCCCTTCTCCTAGCATGGAGTAGTCCCTTCTTTCACTTGGGTGTTTGTTAACCTTAGCTACAATTATGTGAATGCTTGTATGAATTGAATGATTTGTGTGTGGTTGTGTTTTAATGTGAATGTGGAGGTAATATTCACAAAATATTGTGTAGTGTGAAAGCCTATCAATCTAATTGTCTTTCTAACCTAGCTTAGAGAGGAGAACTCCTTATGTTAGAAGTTTAATGGGTGTTCTTGGGCATTTCATGCCTCCTATGCTAGCTTAGAGAGAAAACCTCCTTAGGTTAAGAGGCTCAATATTGAGATGAGGTTCTTGGGCATTTCATGCCTCCTAGGCTAGTTTAGAGAGTAAACCTCCTTTACCCAAGAGGCTCGGTTTCCTTGGGCATTCAAAGTCTCCTAAACTAGTTTAGAGAGAACCCTTTTTTAACATAAGAGGCTCATTTTGAGATGGGTTTCCTTGGGCATTCAATGACTCCTAAGCTAGGTTATAGAGAACCCTCCTTAACTTAAGAGGCTCTATTAGAGATGGATTTCCTTGGGAATTCTATGCCTCCTATCTAGGTTAGTTAAAGGGCAAACCTCCTAATTTGCATTAGCACTTAGGGTTTGGTTGTTGGTGGCCGTCTGAACTCCAATTGGAGGGTGAAATCTAACCATTCCTTAGTTGATAGGTTGAGAAGGTCACATTAGTGACTTGGATCGTATCCCATTCCTCATCCTAGAGGCTAAGAGGGTAGCTTCGACTGCTTGTTA